CACGAAAAAAAGATAAGAAAATTGTATCTTCGTAACCATGATCCCACATTTTCCTAAATGGATAGAATTTTCTAAACAAACTCATCCCTCATATCCTACAATATCTCTAACTACCTAATATTTCGTTAACAACCCTAACTTCTTTAAGAATTTATCTATCTACTTTATTTTCTTCCTAAAAACATACAGGAACAAAAAAAAGAATAGAGAAAATTTTGAGAGGAGAATCGGGTACTCAATGAGAAGGAACAGATAGAGATTTTAATTTCAGAGTTCAATTTTGGCAAGCATTTCTTATCCTTCAACTCTTTTATTTTTTTCTTGATCACTTTATCTAATTACAAGGATTTCTTTCTAGAAAATCATGAGCAAGAGATTGTAGTTGGATTTATCACTTTTTGTTGATCACAGTGATGTAGGAAAAATCTTTACTCTTTATGCAAGCATTTTACTTTTAGATAATGATATTTTTCTAATAAGGAAATAAATTATTTTCAATTTTTTTCATAATTTGAATAACATGATTATTATCCATTTTGGCCAAGTTTAGTATAATTATGTATTTTTGGGTTATTTTTTTCCAAACCCCTACTTCTAATTAATTTGTTTTGCTTAGTCTAGTAACCAGAAACTATCTATTATATGTACTTTAGTAGCAGTTGATTTCACATGCATGTGTTTAGCTTAGTGGTCACATGAATTGGTTGCTAACCCCATAGTCACGAGTTCGAAACCCATAAGCTTTCAATTTTACAAAAAATTATCTTTGGGTATATTATGAAGGTGAACCCGACACAGTACCCATTATCAAATTCTAGTCCCGCTTGGATCTATAACTCAAATTACAGACCCGTTTGACCCAGTTAGGATCCAATATCAAATTACAGACTCGTTTGACCCAGTTAGGATCCAATATTAAATTACAGACCTGTTTGACCCTGTTAGGATCTAATATCAGATTTAAGACCTCTTTGGGTTTATGATTAAAATTACAAAGCTGTTTGACCCAATTAGGATCCAATATCAGATTTTAGACCCGTTGGGGTTTATAATTTAAATTACAGATTCGTTTGACCCAGTTAGGATCCAATATCAGATTTCAGACCTGTTTGGGCCTTTTGCTCACTAAAAATAAATTTTGTAGATTTCTATACTATCAAATTAAAACTATTTGGCTCGCTTTGATACTAAACAATTATGCTAATTATTTATTTCCCTTTTGTTAAAATGAATGATGATATTATTTGATTTCTTGATGCTTATTGGATCACCTGATGTTATGTTTGATCACCTAGTGACATTTAATAGGGTATTGCATATGAAGACGATTTTCATCAAGAAATGTGATTCATAAACACGTTACCATAGCCTGGGTATACCCTTGACATCGATATCTCGACGTGAGGAGTTTCTCTTGATTACTACTATTATTATAATAGCATTGAATAGACGATGCACCCATCTTGATTGGACATATTTTGGGTTACAGTTATTTTCATAAATTTTACAGAAGCCGTTCTACAATGACTCTGTGGTTAGTGAACAATATTTCATGCACAACCACTTAAAATAAATGAATAAATGTGGGCTTTATAAAGGGGAATTTGATGGAGAATATAACGTGCATATAAGCGGGCTCATGCGCATTCTTGATATCCAGATTTATATATATAACAACTAAGGGCCAATTCTGACTTGAATCCGTGTTCTCATGACGGTTTACAGGAACCCGATTTATATACATGAAAATATTCTTTTTGAATTAAAATAACACCTAAAATAATAATAATGTACTTGTGTGCCTTGTGGTAGACCTTGTTTGATATCTACAACTAGTATTTTCTTTTATCATATTTAATTGAGTTTTCATCTTTTCTTTATAACTGCTACATACACTTACACGCGCACAATTCCTTTATTTTACATGCTTGTTGGGAGTTTTTTTATTCCCCTGGGGTTTGCACATCACAGACTCGGGAACTGTTCTTTCTTCGCAGGATCGAAAATATTTTGAGGAGCAAGTCCAGCAGCAGTGATCTACTTTTAGTCCATTAATTCTTCAGTTCAATTGGTTTAGGTAGTTATTTGGTTTAGACTTTTTCTTGAGTAATATGTGACTTTTGTCCTAGACTATGATGTAATTTTTTTATTACCCTTTTCCTTTGTGGATTATGAACTCATAGTTAGACTCCGTCCTTTTGTAGATTTTTTCATCTATATATTTCTTTTATTATCCTAGTTACATGCTCTATGCTGTAGTTTTGGCTTTATATTTATATATAGGATGATCTAGAGGCGTGAATGTGGCTGAATGGTTGCATTGCCGGCCGAGTCATGTTCCAAGTTATTACATTTTAAAACCAAGGCGTGACATGCCTATTGACAACTTGATCTTGATTTCATACTTAGTCTTGATTTTTGTGCAAATAAACTCCTCCTTCAATGTACTAGCGCTCAAAATACAACCATTTGCAAATACTTGATCTTGGTTTGTGAATTATCATGCTTTTATAATTGATCAAGTTTTGCACGGTGGAGGATGACGAGCCTCCACTCATTAGATGCAATGTATCACAAACCTAGAACTCTTTCCTTCTTTATTATACTTTTCTTGATTTGGTATCACGATGAACACACCCAATATTAAAACTCATAGCAATCATAGCCATCATGCATACCTCTAGTTGTCAAGTCCTATTATAAGTGTACCAACACATCAAAAGTCTGGGGTAGTTTCCTAGCATCAACATGCATAATGTCTATGGAATTGTCATTCGATGGCATAAGCTTCAAACAATATCGATATAAATAAGAGCAACTAGATAGATAACAATATGATAAAATACCTTGCATAACATCAAAAAAGCATTACAATCAACATATTATCCATGATTCTTCTTCAAGATGGCAAGAACAAGCATAAGCATGTCTCATATCATAACATATAGCAACAAGGACATATGAACTAGGGATCATCTTAATGAAGCCAAAAATAAAAATAAAGGAAAACTGTTTTTATTGAACTAAGTGTCAATGCATGGCTAGGCCAGAGTCAATGCTCACCTACACCACATTAAACTCCTCCACTTAAGTGGGATACTGATCAAGGCTGGTCAGTATACAAAGCTAGATTAAGAGTGGACATTGATAGTGTCTAAGCGTCGGTGCTCAATCATTATAATCGAAATATATATACATTTTCTTCCTCTAAGCGAAAACACTCACTTAGACTAGAGTTTGCACTCGTCCTGCAAAGAAGCAATTTTTAAACTTTCAATCAAGTAAAAATCCACTTTCTACACATGATCTCTAACAACTAGAAAAAACTTTTGGAATAACTTTTATTACAAACCCTTCACCGTAGCAAAATCTACCATTCGAGAAGCTCAAATCTCTCTTTTCATCAAAAATGGGAAAACGCCTTTCTATTCTCCTTCTCTAATCAAAAAAACATAAATCATCAACAGAGAATCAAAACTACTTAAGAAAACCCATGAAAACTCAAGAAAATTATAGATCTTAAGATCTTTATCATTTTCTATAACATTGGGTCTTTCCCTTTGATAGAGATTGTGAAAAATAACTTCACCGCCAAGAGCTTTTCTCCCTGTAACAACAATCACAAAAATTAAAGTATGAAACAAGGAAAGATCTACAAAAACCCAGAATATTGCAATTTTTTAAATAACAACAGAGGAAGTATAAAACACTTGCCTTGAGTTATAGACACTTTTAGGCTTGGTTTGGTAAGGGGTTTGAGGAGGGAATGTGAAGTGAGGGGATGGGTAATGAGATGAAAGGATGAACATCCCTTTAAGCCTTTGTGTTTTGTTGGAGGGGAATGGAAGAAAGATGCACGCTTATATATTTCAGTTTCTCTCTCTCTCTCTCTTCTTGTCTCCTCCTATTTTAGAGTGATTTTCTCTCTATAACTTTTTAGTTTATTTTTTGGTGTTCCCCCACTCTCCTCCATTCCCCTCCCTACCTTACCCTCTAAAAATTCTTATGGTGATTTCCTTTTCCATCTCACCTCTGTTTGCCCTGGGGACTCTCTGGCTTTGGCTTTCACAACCATGTGGTTTATATAGGGGGAAATGAATACGCGGTCTCATGGTGGTGGTGTTAGAGAGGCCTCAACTCGGATTCTCTGTTTTGTGGAGGAAGGGGATAGAGTTAGAGGTCTCTCCTATGACATTGTCACTCCTTCAAAATGGCCTTCTGCTTGGTATCCCACTGCTCCTGGTTTGCTGAAACTCAATACAGATGTTGTTGTTCCTCTGGAAAGAGATATTATTGGTTTGGGAGGTGTTATTTGGGATCACCATGGACATGTGATTGGTTGCTACTCTATGGGGATCAGGGGTCCTATGTCTGTGGATCATGCGGAGCTGTTGGTTGTCCTGGAAGGCATTCGCTTTGTTCGGCGTATGAACTGGAGGATTTCAGTGGTGGAAATTGTCTCTCTAAATGTTATCTCTTTGGTGGACTCTCCTTCTCCTTTTGCTTCCTTGGCTCCTATTGCAGATGAAGTTCGCGTTGGTCTGACTATTACTGGATACTCTAAAATTTTATATGTAAGGCGCACTGGTAATGGTGTTGCTCATTCCCTAGCTAAGTCGATTGACTGTTTGTCCTCTTGTTTTTGGTCTGCTTCTGTCCCTTTGTTTTTGAGACAGAGTGTTGTTGATGACTTGGCTGGTTAGGTTACCCTACCTGCCTTTTCACAAAAATAAATTCTTTACTAAAACCAAATCTAACTTTGATCTCTCCCCTCCCTTCACCTTCCCTCCAACCAAATCAAGTCTCAGTCTTTTCTCTATTTGACTTTTCTATATGATTTTTTTTTTACCTATAGTCATGCTTAAACTAATTCAACTAATCTCTACACCCTTTGAAATTAAAAACCTTTCTCATTTCAACAATAAAGCCTTAGATGTCTAGCTTTTAGAAATCATAGTATTTTCTCGAAAACAAAAGAGACTTCATCTGTACACATGAGATACATCAAGAAAACATCCACAACTTATTAAAAGGGACACAAGTAGCACTTATTCATGACACCCCTTAAAAAAAGTGCAAAAAAGAAATGAGGAGGGACAAGCTCTTGAACAAAAAGACTTTTTCCTACCCAATGCAAAAAGGATCACCAATTCTGTCCTCAAAAGTCAAGGAAAAGGAGAGATGTCGAACAAATCCATGCTCCCACGATAAAGGAAACGGCAAAATAAGCAATAAGCCCATAAGAAAGTTGAACTTGCAATCCTCTCTCTCCAATCACGAGCATGGTTAATGAAGTCATGAACCACGCAAAAAAAAAGGATTGGGGATGATGAGAAGAAAAATGAGAGACCATGAAAAGGGAGGAATAGGAAAACCAAAGCCATGAAATGGTGATCTTTCGAAATGAGAAAATAGGAAAGAAGAACTCCCTCATCACAAACCCCCTCATCACAAACAAACAAACAAGAACTCCCTAGTCATCAAATCCTTCACATAAACTGCCTAAATGCTGCATTTAGCTTCTCCGCAAGCTCCTTCACCGTCAAAGAAAACCCTTCTTCAACCTGCAAAAACCCACAGAAATTAATTAAATGATAATTAAATTAAAAAAAGATTCCTAACATATACAGAGATAGAAATCCGTAAGTTATGAACCTGAGCCACCACAGTGATATCCAAAGCAGATCCGACAAAGGGAATGCAGCTAGTATTCAAAACAGAGAGCTTCAGGGTCTCAATCTCTGCCAGCATCTTCACCAGCAATCCTTTGCTCTTCTTGCAATGAATCTTCAACAGAAGGGTATTATCCGATAGCTTTGCCTGGACCTCAAAACCGTTGCTGTGCTCATCATCGAAGCCGGCCACCTCGCAAGAAGAAGCGTCGTGATCCGAGACCGGACACCTGTTTCGCTACCACTGCAGACACTCACCGTCTATCCTTCAACCCTGCATTTTCCAAATGTCTTCACCTGATCCTAGAAGCTGCTTCAGGTACTTGATCGCATCGCCGAGGATCGAAGCCTTGTCCATCTACATTAATGTACAAATACACATGACCGACGTACGAATAATGAGTCAATACGACCCCTATAATATTTGAGATATAATTAAACGAATTACTTTTGAGGCCGCGGATCATGGGCGGACAAAGCGATGAATGCTCTGGCTCGAGTTTTTCTCCCCCGCCGCTTCCGCTCCGCAATGATTATGATCCTGGTTTGTGCGACGAGCGGCCTGGCGGCTACCGGTCTCTTTACACGCCGCTCGAAGCTCCTCTTTCGGCCAGCGACGCGCATCAACGCCGCGCCGGCCTATCCTTCCGGCAGATGCGGGTTCGTAGATTCGGTCGTTGCAACGAAAAGGATTCTGGGCGACGCACTCGTGTGTCTTGAGCTCGGCGCGGCGGCGGCGGCGGCGGTGGAAGTCGAGCTCGCTGCTTGTTGTTTTGAGAATCTTTTTGGGGCCTGTTGATCCATTGAGAGGCCACTGTACGGAGCGGCGTTGAAGGAGGAGGTCAAATAATGCTGGATGTCGTCCCAAAAGCTTTCGGCGTTGCTGAACTGCTCAAGAGAGCCCAACTCCCATTGGTGGAAGCTTGGATCTTCTATCATCCCCTGGTTCTCAAAATTATTCTCATGATTAAAAGATAAAAACAGCAGTTTGGAGACAAAGATTGAGATGGGTTTTGGTTGTACAATCTTACTGGATCTGGGAACCAACGGGCTGTGGCTGACGCATCCATATATATTGCGGCAACTTTGGCCTTTGATTTTGAGAAAGAAATTAAAAGGGGAAATGTAGAGGAGGAGGACGAGAGTTGGGGGCCAAAGCTTGCGATTTTTTCGTACTGAAAATGTTCGGGTTGGTCAACGCTACTGAGTCCGTAGTCAAAGCTTTTGCTTTGCTGCCTTACCC